GGCTCGTAGCCCCCGAGTCAATCCACCATGCACAGTCATCATCCTGTACATAAAAAGATTCTGGAATGAGTGATACATAATTCTGGACAGAATTATCAAAGTTAGTCAGGAACTGACCTCCTTTCCGTGGAACCAGGTCCTTAGACCGTTCCTGTCCACTGCCACTCGTTCCAGCGCCATTCTTGTTCAGTTTCACACGGCAATCACGCTTGACATGTCCAACCTTTTGACACCTCCAACAAACCAAACCTTTCGGTTTCTTGTTGGGTTTGTCATGGTCTTCATACTTGCGCTTTTTGCCTTTCCCCTTATCTTTCGGGTTAGATTTATTATCCTCAACCAAGTGAACATGAGCCATTCTAGATTCAACTTCACCCATAATTTGGTCATTCTCTTGCACACGAAGATTCTCCTCAATGCGCAAGTGACTCCCAAGTTGAACCAAGGACAGTTCCTCATCTTGATGTTTTAAAGAACGTTTAAAATCCTTCCAAGAGGGTGGAAGTTTGTCAATTATACTCGACGCGGCATAGGACTCATCAACACCTATCTTGTGGAGTTTAAATTGACCAAGAACACGAAGGAGTTCATTGTATTGTTCCATAACCGGCCTTGAGTCAACCATTTTATAATTATTAAAATCACTCACCAAGAACTTCTTACTAGAAGCATCCTCGGCGATGTATTTTGACTCAAGAGAATTCCACAATTCCTTCGCACTCTCAACGTTTTGGTAAATATCAAATAACGCATCAGACATACCGTTAAGGATGTGGCCTCTACATATGTAGTCATCGTTCTCCCACTTGTTGCGTCTCCTAGTTTGTTCCAAGGTTTCATCCTCCATCACTTCCGGCATTGGAGTGCTCAACACGTACACAACCTTCAACGTGGTGAGAAGAAAGTGCATCTTCTTCTGCCATCTACGGAAATCGTTGCCTTGAAACTTGTCCAATTTGTTGAACTTGGATGTCATCTCTTCCACAGTACTCATGATTATCACAAAGAAATATCAATTCGATTGTTGGGGTAAATCACGTAGGGGGTGATAATTCGAGTACTTGGATATCTTAAGGATCGTGTAAGTTCACTTTCCGAATTGATATTTCTCCCCTATGCCTGGGTTACAAGAAATTCAATCTAGGATAATCCTTAAGGACACTCTAGAACTTAGGCACAAGAACTAGAGCCAAACTAGTGAGTATATGGATTGTTATCTTTAATTTGAGTGCCAAAGTGATGAAGATATGTTGGATATGTTTTCTCCTCCTCCTCTGTACGAAATATGGTGGTATCTATCCATATTCATCGTCCTAGGCAGTAGTAACACGATTAAGAATAACCGCAGCAGTTTTTGGGAAACTGCTGGAAACTGCCTAACCGTTCTAGAACTCGGTCTAGAACCACAGAGCTGGTCTACTGAAAGTTATACCTCGAGTTCTACCTCAAGTTCCACTAACGTAGACACTTTGGAACTAAACTAGTTCTTATATACAAGTGTGCACTCCACACCTACTAACTTGTATTAGATCATAGTTCTAATTCCCATTGGCACTCATGTCATTTCCAATTACACAAAATGGCCGGTGACACTAAAATCACCAACAAACATTACTTAAAAAATTTTCTCGCAGGGCATTGTGAAGCAAAATCATCAATAATTACTTCATAATCAACTTTTTCAAATATCTCATGCTCAATGCTTAAAATTGCTAACTCTTTAAGCCTTTCATTCATGAGACATAGTCGATCATGGATAATTCATCAGAATCTCCAACTTTATAAACATTACTTAAAAGCGTTTCTCATGGAAGTTTCAGGATTCAATTTCTTAACAAGAACAAATGTTTCCACTGACCCCTTCTAACCTAAGCCTTTCTTTTCTAATCTTCTCCTCTTTCTTTTTTTATCCCAACCTGATTCACACATTTTATCAAGAATAATTTATTGATCACTGTTGGATTGTTTGAAGCCTTGAAAGAGGAAGTTTTTTTGTCACCCACCGCTGTTTGAGCTCCTCGATTGATTGGCTTCAATTCTTAACAAATCGCTGAGTCACTCACTGCTTTGCAGCGTTCTTTACTCTTGTTGATTTTGGAATTTGGAAACAACAAATCAATTTGAATGGGCTTTACGATCGCCCCTGTTGCACCCCCTAGGGCCGCCCCTGAGGCCTAGTTGCTTTTGTATGTCTACTAGAGTAGTAGGTCGTTAGACCAGACTAATTGTAAAAAATTACAACCATGCTTGTTGTACCCACCACTTTGTACCCACTTATACCCACCTCTGTGAAAGCTATTTTTTTGTCTGTGAAGCCGGTTCACAGACAAAATATGTCTTTGAATTCCTTCACAGACATATTTTGTCTGTGAAGGAATTCACAGACAAAAAAAAACTAACTTCACAAACATGGGTGGGTACAAAAGTGGTATAAAAGTGGGTACAAACATCATTTTCCAAAAAATTATCATGAGTGCTAGACTAATGGTAAATTCATGGGAAAGGGCCAAATACAAAAAGCAGTAAAAAACCAGTACAAATACTAATACTCCGTAATAACCCATTCATGATTGAGAGGCCGTTTGGGAAGCTCCTCTCCATATCTTTCTCTCCATTTCTTTTTTACTTCATATCTATCTCTACCTTTTTCTCTATCCTACTTACCAACCTACCTCACTCTTAATTTTCTCCTCTCTATATCTCTCCTAATGGAACTCTCCAGTTACTGGAGAGGATCCAAATTCGATCGTTTGGAACCACTGTTTTTCGGTTTATCAGGCTTATCAGCCAACTTTTTCATCAAACGCGAAACTTTTGCTTTCACGCGCTGAGTTGTGAAATAAGCAGAAAATTAAGGTTAGAGTTACTTTTCTGGCTGTTTTGGATGAAGTTACTGTAGAGGATCATTTTAGCTATTTTTACATATAATTTTTCTTAATTTTATTAATAAAATATATTTTCAAAATATTTTTTTCTTAAATCAGCAGAATCAGCCAATGCAGTCACTTCAACCAGAACTTCATAAATTTCAGCAGAATAAGCCAAATCAGTCGATTTTCGTGTCACCAAACGGGCTCTAAGAATAATCAATTTTGAACAATGAATACAATAATTATGTTCCAACATTTTGCATTTCACTATTTCCAATCAATTTATAATTTTCAAAGTATGTATCGATAATCTATATGAGTAATTTGGTACCATAATTAATTACGGTAAACTCAAGTTTCAATATCTTTATGATGAAAGCAAGAGATAAAGAAATACAATAGTTCAAGACTACACTCATATGAGACATAGAATCAATTAGCCCCCAAGGACCGGTTTTACCAACCACCAGGAAGGGATATGATAAGAGGTTTGTTCATCCACCTCCAAAGGAAGCATCCCGACTTTACCGGCCACCGAAAAGGGAGAAGATGTTTGACCATCTATCTCCAAAGAAATCATCTCGTTTACGGAACTTGTCAGTACTTTAGGCGGTGTTGTTCCGGAAGCGCCGTCGCCTTGCCGTTTTTAATCTCTCACCATCAACCTCCTCGATTGACATCCTTTCACAAGCCTGAGTTAAGCTCTCCGTTAATAGCCAACAAAATGAACACCGGATCTTGGGCAGAGAAGAAGATGTTGCAGAACTCACAATAAAAAAAATCCAAAACATGTTCACAATCGGAACGGACTAAACTCTCGGCTAGAGAAAACTCAGCCGGACAAAATTCTCGGCAACACACAACCACCTCAACCAAAGCACCTCAATGAAGTAATACTGAACAAAAACCGTTACCTATATACACAGTCGAATGTCAAGCATCCCTTGTGGAGGCCACGATTCCTACCCCGAAACCTGCCTCTGTGTCGTCCAATCGCTATGCGTAAGGAGCCTAGCGGCCACGGCACGCTAGGGCTTCATCTCTTTGGTGTGATGCGCTGATGCCCCTTCACTTTTTGCGATTATTATCTATATGTAAACAATTAAAACATGAAATTTTGCAAATCAAATTGGAATGACGAGTACAAAACTATACATGCAAGTCTTGTTTTAAAATATAGTTGTAATGTGACTATGTGAGAGTGGCGTCTGATTCACGTACCACGTAGGTTATTGTACTCGGAAGAGCAAATGCAAAACAAATGGTGTTTCCTCGTGTCCCCTACCTAGCTGCCCTAAATTATGCTCTCTGCTTTTTCTCTCATCCTATCTCCTCCATTCAACAAACATAACTTATTAGCTTGTTGGGTTTTACAAGTCTTAATACCATGCTATGCGATGTCTAATTGGACTAACTAAAAAATGTTTCAAGTAAGTACTGCTAATTTCACTTTTAACATTGGATCGACTCGTCTCTATAAAATTGTTATGTGTGATACTATAATAATAGATTAGTACCCTTTAATGACAACTTACGTGATGGTCTATTCAATTTATAATATGTTCAATTTAGATTTAGTGTTTTAATGGACCATATACGTAGTATATCATGAGAATATAATAATGATTAATGAGATTCTTTCTTTTAAGTATTACTACCTTCCGTCATCTTAACATTGTTATACAAAGAGGTGATGTGGTTATTAGAAAAAATGAGTTTGTGTGCTTCATATTAATTAATACTGTGAGATTAAAGTGAAAATGATTTATATCTATAAAAACATTATCAATTTTGTTTGAGATAATTTTAGTTTGGCGAATCAAAATGAAAAGATGAAACAATTTTAGCGCGACGGAGGATTTGGAGTATCATTTAAAAACTCATTGGCCAAAAATGTTAATTGATTGTGTTTACTCTTGTTGGTAAGTGTGTTGGTTAATTGTCTTGGATTCATTGCCACTCCACTTTTAGTAATTACATTGATGGTGATTATGCCTCAAAATTTGAAATGAACATTTTTCTCTATTGAATATTCAATTACTAGTATTTAAGGAATTTTTCACAAATCTTTTAGTCGGATATCAATAAATCTAGACAAAGTATATTTAGGACTCCTACGTTTGTACGAAGATACTTGACTTATTTGAGAATCTCTCTGGGCCCAAAGATTCCGTAATAAAAATTGATTCCAGTTCTTGATTTTATTCCATCATATCTGTATTTCATTATATATATTTTAATTTTCGTGCAAATTGTTTGTGTATATATTAATGGGTGGAGAAAACTCAGAGAAGAAGTAGTCCTGAGTAGCTAATTCAGAGAAGTTATTCTGATTGGTTTCAGTTCTCGGAGTGAGTTTATCCTAATCTGATTGTTTCATCACCTTGATCAGGTATGCTTGTATTAATATGAATCTGTTGCTCCAATGTTCAAAAGTTTCTTTTTTGGCACATTTTAGAGATCTTGTCTAACGTGGAATATGCTTGGAAAAAGTTATTTTGGTAACATTTTAGAAATCTTATCAATTTAATGTAATATGCTTCAGTTTTCAGAGAACAGTACCAATTTTTTTAGTTTGACAAAACTTTCTAACCTATTACTTCCTCCGTCCCATAAAATTGTTCCCGCATTGACTTTGATCGGAGTTTAAGAAAATGAGAATAAAGTGAAAATGTATGGTTGTGATTGTGTAAAAAAAAAAGGTAAATGAATGTGAGTCACACAAAACTTCCCAAAAGGTGAAATGAGAACTATTTTTTGGGATGGCCCAAAAAGGAAACCGGGAACTATTTTGCGGGATGGAGGGAGTATAATATTTGTTCTACGTGAGTACGACTGTACGAGTAGAAATTTTTGACAAATGAGTAACTCGTGTATTATAGAGTAAAATAAAATATGAGGCTAGCTCTTAACATCGTACTTTTATATTCTTTAGTTCTTGATTAGTTATTCCAGTAGAGTTTTCGGAGAATGTGCATAGTATTTGAAAAATTAATACTACGTACTTTATTCGCCTCATTCGAGACATTGACAAGTTGGAGTTAGGCATTAAGTAAGAAGAATAAATATTTTGTTGATATTTGTTAAAGATAGAGAAATAAACATGTCCACGAATTTTTCAATTTAAAAAGAAAAACTACAAAGTTTGTTATACAAACAAGAGAGAAAAGTTAGCAAAGTCAATTGAACTCAAAGACGAACAATGAAAATACTTTACACTTATAAAAGTGTAATAATATATATAATTACTTTTGAGTATTTTTGTTTTTTAAATGGAAGTGTAATTAATAATACCGTAGTATGAAATACTCCATCCGTTCTCTAATACTTGTCTCTCTTTCCATTTTGGGATGTTCTCTATTAGTTGTCTCACTTTCCATTTTTGATAAGTTTTTTCAATATATATACACATTTACTACCATTCTCTTTCCTACTTTTTCATTCTCTTTCCTACTTTTTTATTTAAACACAACTCACTACACCTTTTCCACCACCCCTATTATCTTTCTCTTAAAACTTGTGCCAAACCTATAGGGACATCTTATAGAGAACAGAGGGAATATAAAGGATTCCATTTTGTTGGACTACACTTTGTATAGACAAGCACTAGTCATTAGGTGACTAGTTTATGTTTGGTAGTCATAATTAAAGTATGACTTATTTACTCTTATTAAAATAATGAAACAATAAAAATATGAGTTTTTTAAAAAATATTACTAAAATAAGACTTATTTGCACAAGTATGACTTAGTTACTACAATGTAGTGTCTTGATAACTTAAATTTAAAAATTGAACATAAGTTACAATGATTTCATTACGATTCTAGTCGCCAGTTATAAATGGGTAATTATTTATAAAACTGTGCCAAAATATAAATCATTGATACTTCTGTTGGAATATTATGTTAAGTCGTACTACTTATGTTATTATTTTTATTCAGAAAGTTTTCTCAAACAAAAAATTGGACAAAGTGAATTAGTCGAATTTAAAAAATTCGACCCTAAAGTAATAAACCGCTTTATAATATGAGGCTTTCCTAAAATATTACTAATAAAAAGGTCATAAACAAAAATGTAATTTAATATTCCCTTCATTTGATTAACAATGAGACAAGAGAGAGTGTCACACAAACTAATAAAAATGATTTATCTGGTTCATATTGAATTCATAAAATAAGAATAATGATTGTCTCATTATTTCTCAAAATAATATATAAATAATCGTATCATTATGTCACGGGAACCTTTGAACATGACAAATTTAATATTGTCATTAATTTCATTAGTACTTTAGTCATTGGTCCTAGTAAACAATCTCATCTTTATTTAAATTTTGCAATTTACTAAGAGAATCCATCAATTCAAAATGAAATCAATTGGATAAAATCGAACCAACCAACACCTAATTTTACATACAAAGCTGAGTCAACATATATCTTGATGACTTGTATAACTCGATGTATATGTAAAACAGAGAGGTTATTAATTAAATTAGAAATGAGATTTGGCTGCTGCGCGCCGTGGGGAGGCTGAAACAGGGAAGGTGAAATCTAATTCAGTTTTTTACTGTTTTCTTCCGCATATTTTTTTTGAGTTTATTTGTTTTTATTATTTTTGAAGAATTATATCGAGTGAATTTGGTGTTTGGTCAAAAGCTTGTAACATCTTCTAGACTCAATGAGTGAATAAGAAGTGTTTCCATCTTCTTATTTTAGAAGTTGCTTTCTGAAGTAAAATTGAATTGATATGAATAGATGAATTAGCTAAAGAAAAACCGAAAATTACTGTCTAGAAGATGTAAAAAATGATACCTTTTTTTCGACAAAAAAAAAAGTAATTTTGTGCCATCATTGTGTACCATATGTGGATTGAATAGATGCACTCAAATAAGTTAGATATTTTTTATAATAAAAAATGAAGTAGATTCTGATAAGATTGATAATAAAGAAAACAAAGTTCAAACCAAATGGACAATGTGTATATAGCTTTCCATTTGAGTGCTAATGGAAGCTTTGTCTGCATTTCATTTCCTTGTTCTATAAATTGATAGAGATAATTAGTTACCCACCTCAAGTCATTAGTTTCAATCTTTTTTCTACAACTGCTTCTTCAGGGTTGAATCTTTTTATTTATTATTGTTCAGGAACATGAATGCATTGGCAGCCACCAATAGGAACTTTAAGCTGGCTACCCGGCTGCTAGGCTTGGATTCGAAGCTCGAAAAGAGTTTGCTGATTCCATTCCGCGAAATCAAGGTGTCCTTCCCATCCTTTCAATGGCATAACCATAATGCCAGAAAGTTCAATTTGGAATTTCACAGAAAAGTAATTCATTCGTATAAATTTTTACGTTAATACTTTTCTTAATAAAGAACAGTTTAATGTGAACTTGGGATGGACCCTGTATCTATGCTTGTGGTTTGATACCTTCTTTGTCTCTTATATGTCTGTTCATTCCTCGTGAGAGAGTATGGACGGACGGCTACCAGTGGGTAGCATGAACTAAACAGAGAATATGAATGGAAAAAGTTAAATATTTGGTGCAGGTTGAATGCACAATACCAAAAGATGATGGCTCCTTGGCGACATTTGTCGGATTTAGAGTTCAGCATGACAATGCTAGAGGTCCCATGAAAGGAGGAATTAGATACCATCCTGAGGTAACAACACTACTATCTTGTTTTTGTCTTCATCATTTTCTTTTTTCGTCCATCTTAATATTATAATCATTTTCCATTTTAAGGAAATGGTTCAGTTGGTTTTATATATGTTCTCTCACTCTTTTAATGTTTTACTCTTTACAGTTTTACTTGAATTCCAAGCATAAAGTTTTCTCTTTCTTAAAAACGTTCAAAATTAAGAGAGCATGATATTGTTCCTTGTGCGGTCATAGTACACTGAAAATTTAAACTTTGGGTGCATAACAAGGTTGATCCAGATGAGGTGAATGCGTTAGCACAGCTGATGACATGGAAGACAGCAGTAGCCAACATACCATATGGTGGAGCTAAGGGAGGGATAGGGTGCAACCCGAGCGAATTGAGCAACTCTGAACTCGAACGTCTCACTCGTGTTTTTACTCAAAAGATACACGATTTGATTGGCATCCATACTGATGTCCCAGCTCCCGACATGGGAACTGGTCCACAGGTACTTAACATATCTACCTCTTCGTCCAATTTAGTTGATGTTTTAGAAAACTAGACGCATTAAGAAACATTACCAAAAACGAAGTACTCCATAACATTCTTAACATTATAAAAGTTCAAAATTAAATTATGTGATCTTATATCTTTCAATGAAAATCTAATATGGGAAAGGCAACAGGGGAATATATGGGAGAACAACACTTATATCCATTGCATTCGGAAATCCATAATAATTTTTTGTCAAAAAATGTTGACTGAAATGGAAAATATTTTAAAGAGGTGAAGTATATATGTTCTATACTTCTATAGATCTCATTTCATTCATTGTTGATTTCTTGTTTTAACTAACCTGATCAACTCGAACCCTTCATGCAGACAATGGCATGGATTCTAGACGAGTACTCCAAATTTCACGGCCATTCACCTGCAGTAGTAACCGGGAAACCCATTGTAAGATTCTTGAATTCGATAAAGTCCATGATTGGAAAGGGATCACTTAGCTGGTCTAATATAATGGCTTGTAAACTCATATGTTCCACTTCAATAAAATATGCACCTATTCCTGAGGGTCCGTCAAAACTGATGGGGTGAATTGAGCTATAATTAATCTTCATGTGGTAATATGTTTGACTTTAATCTTTCTGTATGGAGCATTTAACTTTTACTTATATTAACTAGGACCTAGGAGGTTCTCTAGGAAGGGATGCCGCTACAGGGAGGGGTGTCCTTTTTGCAGCAGAAGCTCTTCTGAATGAGCATGGAAAGGGCATTGCGGGGCAGCGATTCGTTATACAGGGATTCGGCAATGTTGGCTGCTGGGCTGCCAAACTAATCAGCGAACAAGGTGGACAGATTGTTGCAATTAGTGATGTCACTGGTGCTGTAAAGAACAAGAAGGGGATCGATATCCCGAGTCTGATGACACATGTCAAGGAGAACCGTGGGGTACACGGTTTCCCGGATGGAGATGCAATAGATCCCAGTGCCATATTGGTTGAAGATTGTGATGTTCTAATCCCTGCTGCTCTAGGAGGAGTCATTAACCGGTTTTCTTCTTGTCATTCCATTTCCTGCATATAATGTCTTCTTACCTATCATGTTGTTATTGTAGACCCATGTTTTATATATTATATAAACCTTTATGTATTTTGTCGTCATCGACATGATCGTTCATTTTTTATTTGTGATGGTTATTTTGATTTTAAAGGGATAATGCGAAAGACATCAAAGCCAAGTTTATCATTGAGGCAGCTAATCATCCAACTGATCCTGAAGCTGATGAGGTTAATAAGTACCGCCATGAATTTATACTAACCAGACTAGGTTGCTTTGGAATGATGATGATGGCATGTATATATGTTAGTATAACTGTTGAGATGTTTTTTTTTCAGATTTTAGCAAAGAAAGGAGTTGTCATCCTACCAGACATATATGCAAACTCAGGTGGAGTCACTGTCAGTTACTTTGAATGGGTTCAGGTAATTAATGATTCTCTTTTAAATTATTATCATCAAAGTTTTTGTTCCTACTTATCAAGGTTTATTGCTCAAATTTTCTACTAAACACCAATTTTTTCCACTGCATCTATTGAATATACTCAATGTACCATAATAAAATAAAAGAAGTTCAGGATTTTTTTTAGGGAAAATGGAAACTAATAATCCAACCTTTAAGCGGTCTTCTTACAATAGTCCCACCTTTTCGTTATTCATGAATAATCCAACCTTCCCACCATGGATTATTCATGAATAACGAAAAAGATGGGACTATTGTAAGAAGCCCGCTTAAAGGTTGGATTATTAGTTTCCATTTTCCCTTTTTTATTGAAAGTAACGAAATAAGATGAAAAGACAATTCTACCCTCAGTTCTTACAACTATTGTCTTATTTTTTTACCAGCTCAGTGTTTAGATAATCCCATCAATTCAGTCATTTTTGGAAGAACAAAAAAAAGATAAAATGGTCTAAAGGCAACAGCATTTTGAATTTAACCTGTGGATAGTAAATACATACAGAACATTCAAGGCTTCATGTGGGATCATGAGAAAGTAAATGCTGAACTGAAGAGATATATGAGCAGAGGGTTCAAGGACGTAAAAGACATGTGCAAAACTCATAATTGTGACCTTCGTATGGGTGCCTTCACTCTAGGTGTTAATCGGGTCGCCAGGGCCACCCTTCTGAGGGGTTGGGAAGCCTAGAAGATTATTATTACTAGTATTATATTGCTATTATTATTACTCTTACATTATTACTATTATTATTATTGTTATTAAATTATTATTAATTATGGAGTATTATTATTAATATGCATAATCACTCTTCTTTTTTAATTTGTACTAATCGGATAAAGGAATGCTCCAATATTCCCTTCACCCTATTATTCTCAGTTGATGTTAATTCCAAACACGGGATGAGAGTTTTGGCAAAAAGACATTTTTTGCTATGTAATGTCGGCAATTTGTCCTTTCTGTCGTGTGCTATGAAATTAACTTTATCATAGTTTCTAAAATCCTTTGATATCAGTCATTGGGTACTTTTTGGAGAATGTCTTGATGTAAAGAATTGGGGAAGGTAAGATGTTTCTAAATGGACTACAATTTCTTATTTTGAATTGTTGGTAGTGTGGTCCGCTTGAGTTAGGTCAAGTTTAAATTGAATTGGTCTGATGTGGTACTTGTATGTTTTATATATGTGTAATTTACTATTGTTCATGTTAAGCCTGGTTTGGTCGAATAATCCAATCTATTCAAAGCTAATTTGATTTGGGCCGAAATTAGCTCAAGTAAAAATATTCTTATATAGGATTGAAGGTTTATGTTTTAAAAAATGACAAGTTGAGCACAACACAAAACAAACACATATCATTGTGAGCCCATTTTGATAACGTTCATTTTCAGTTTATTAGTCCTTATTAGTTATTAGTAACTTTTTTATCAAACACATAGATTTAGATTTTGCTCGTTGGATTGTGTAATAATCAAAATAAGTAGATGAAATTGACATCAATAATTCCCCTTTCATACATTTACAAAAATAATCCCTACAGAAAAAGTTCACAACAATAAATTCAATTAGTTAACTATTTCACAAAAATCTAACTTTGTTAAATTTTTCGTTATTTTTTATCTTATATATATTGAAGTGAAAATATATATAAGCATTAACACTATTACATTTGAGTTTAATCTTACTTCTACTATAAATTTAATTTAATGTTCAATATTTTTAATAAAACATTATAGAAATATTTGAACACTACCACACATCAATTTCTCTATTAAAAATTTAATGTTCAAAATTTTATTTGTATTTAAATTTTTATTCATTATAGTAGAGATTTCAAAATAGTTCTAGTAATACCATATTAAATACTAATACAAATGATTAACTTAGTCAAATTTTACTGAATGGATGATATACTGAATTGTCATAGAAAAAAATGCTTATATTCATATATACTTCTATTAATTGTACAAGGTTTCATAAATATGAGCTATAAATATTTTTCTTCTATAATTTGAATGGATGATATACTGAACTGTCATAGAAAAAAATGATTATATTCATATATACATCTAGTAATTGTACAAGGTTTCATAAATATGCGTATAAACATTTTTCCTCTGTACTAATTTAGTATCTCATTCATTCAAGTAATAAGATATACCTATTTATAAAATTAATAATAATTACCATATACATTCTATTAATATTTAATGAACAATTACTAAAACTTCTCTGAAATCTCAATTATAATGAATAAAAAAATGATTATGAATCAAATTTTTACAATGAATAAAAGATAATAGAGAGTTTGATGAGTATGTAGTGTTCAAATATTTCTATTATATTTTTTGAAAATTATTGAATATTAGGAACAATTTATAGTAGGACGAAGTGTAAACTCAAATATAATATTTTTCATATTTCTATATAGTTTTGCTTCGATATATTTACTATAAGGGTTTTACTTAATTTCAAGAAGTCTTAGAGGTTTTAAAAATATAATGAAGTTTTTTTAGCAATAACGGCTCGTTTGGTTCATGGAATGTCAGATTACCATGAGAATGGTACATTGCCAAGTATGTTAGATTGATGAGAATGTATTCAATTTATTCCTATTTGTGTTTGGTTAAGATTAAGGGAATGTGATATTAATTTATTTGGTTGAAAGATATCTTATATTCCATATTTAGTGAATTAGTTCAATGCCCTTTAAATATTTTCTCTTAGCACAATAAATCTATTACTCCGTATAACGGTAACCTACATCTAAAGTAATTGAAATTAAAGACACTACTACAATTTAAGATCTAACGTAACATTGAAGATGTAACATATCTATAAAAGTATTACATTTTTCTCTAATGTAACACTTTTTAGATCTAATGTAACACTTTCTAGAAGTATAAATGTTACATTAGGGACTATAAAGTGTTACAATAGGTCCAATGCAACATGAGAAAATGTAATGGTAAAAAAGTGTTACATTTTCTCTAATGTGACATTTTTCAGTGATATTGTAACACTTTTGGGTGATACATTAGATGTTGAAATGTTGTAGTGAGAAAAAATGAAATATCTTATAAAAAAAATCTAAACCAATTGAATTATTTTTAAGTAAAGTATATTTTAAATAAAATCTAAACTAATATATTGAATATAATTAAATAAGCATACTCCATCCGTCCCACTTAAAAGATAGTCACACAATTTAGGATATTTGATTGACCATAATTTTTTTTGGAAGATTGATAGACCATAAAAATAACTGATCTCTTTTAATACTCTATAATAAGATTATTTTTAGTAAATAAAATTTACATATCCAGAAATTACATTAAAAGTTTTATAAACTCACAAAAGAATCAGGTTTGATAAAAGTTGGATATATAATGTCAAAGATTAAGAACATTTACGTTGATGAGAGAATAGTGGACGAAAAGAAATTAAATGAAAAGAGATAATTAAAAGAGAGTATTTTCGAAAGAAAATTAGGTCATCCCCGGGAATGTCAGATAACCTAATGCATAGATGGGTTTAACATTCTCCTCCATATTACATCTCCGGCAACGTAACTTTCTCGATATTTTCTCAACTTCACGAACCAAACATGGATATCTAATACTTCTGACATCACATTCGGGCCTTCATGTGAGATTATTTCAAACCAAACGGGCCCTAACAGTAATGTTGAACACGTCGTTTTCCCATAAAGAAAGTGAGGCGACCAAGACGAGTTTTTTATTTCTTTTTATCAACATGTAAAGGAAAGTTTTTTGTTTTTGAAAGGACATGTAAAGGAAAGTTGGATGCCTATTTTGGAATGGAGGAAAAAGTAGTGACTCTACGTCCCTTAAAACATGCCTAGTAACATTTTTTAGAGTCTATTTAATAGCTCTGTTTTTTGTTTATTAGCTAATTTTTTCATCAAATATATAATGTGTGTAATAATACAAATGAATGAGGTTAAAGTCATTTTTTGTTGAATTGGTTGAGCTTATTGTAAATAATCATTTTATTAGCTACTGTTCATATAATTTTTTGATTATTTCATTAATAAAATATACTCCATATTTTATATTTAATCTTTACATAATTGCACACATTCAGCCAATTCAGTCATAATTTCATCAATTTCAACAGATTGTACCGATTTATATACGAAATTGTTTATAACATGAAAATTATTGAAACCTTTGTTTATAATACTTTTACAAAGTATGGAGTATAAAACTTACTCCCTCCGTCCCATTGGACTTTGCCAAATTTCCCGTTTTGGTTGTTCCAAAAAACTTTGTCACTTTTCTATTAAAGCAACTAATTTGTGGTTCTGCACATTTATGTCTCCTCTGCACAAATCTCAACCATAATGTTTACTATTCTTATTTCTCACCTAGTTTGCACTTGGCAAAGTCCATCGGGACGGAGGTAGTTATATACTACCTCTATCCTTACTTTTTAATTACTTTAGACTTGATTTGACATAAGGATATCATTAGAAAATCAACTCATCATTTTAACTATCCAATAAAATGTATTGAAGTTAATGTGGGAAGCTGTTTCCATCAAATTGGAAGAGTGCTTACCAAAGTTAAATACTCCCTCCGTCCCCTTTTAAATGGGACGGGAGATGGTGGCACGGGTTTTAAGAAAAGTGAGTTTGTGTGGTTGATATTAATTGATAAAGTAAGAATAAAGTAAGAATGATTTTGAGCCACACAAAGTTTACCAAATAAGGTATGGGGCAATTAAATAGGGACATCCCAATATGGTAAAACGGGACATTTAAAAGGGGACGGAGGGAGTAATACGGAGTACTGCGTAGAAAACATAGGTAGGATACATCAAATTGGAATTAATTTGCCCTGTTTGGCGCTGGATTGGACCAGCTATGCGCCAATACATTGCACCACCATGCGCCGTGGTTCTTTCTAAAGCTATAAATCCTACTACCTCCGTTCTCTTTTAAATATAGTGTTGGACTTTTTGCACTATTCACATGTTTTACTTTGACTACGTTTTATTTATTAATGTAATAATATATATTTTTGAAAAAAATATTGTTTAATTTTTCTCATTATAAATTTTCAAAATCTATTTTTTATACCTTTTTTACTAATCGGGAATTATATATATTAATGGTCAAAATTGTGCCTCGACAAATGTGAAATGTTGACTGTTGCATTTATTTAAGAACGGATGAAGTATAATACAGATCCACCAAACATAGGTAACATACAATAATGAAGAAAAGCACCCCAATGGACCTGTCATTAATCTTTAACAAATGAAACCAAATAAGAATAGGTAAAATGGGCAATACCAAATCTAAAGAATCAGGTTCATCTGTCGTAGTCCTTTTTTGTTGAAGCATGAGTTTATGGTCTAGTGAACTAAGTTCTTTTATAATGCAGAAAAGAACCTAATTCATACAAAAATTGACTCGAAAATCTGATGCAAAAATAGTAACTTTATTCCTCTTTATCCTCTTTATGATCTTATTTTTTGACTTATCATGCTTATCAGTCAAATTTTCACCAAACACGTAACTTTTAATTTCGCGCTCCGAATTATGCCATAATAAGAAAAAATAAGATTGGAAATACTTTTCTGACTGTATTGAATGAAATTACTGTAGAGGATCATTTTAGTTGTTTTTCATATAAATTTTTCTGTTTTATTAATAAAATATAGTTTCAATATTTTTTTTCCATAAATTAACTGAATCGGCCAATCGAGCAACTTCAGCTAGAACTTCATAAATTTCAGTAGAATCAGCCAATACAACTTATTTGATCACTACGAAACAAACTTTTAGACGTACAGGAGTGAAAACTTATTTGGCATTTGGAAAGGAAAACACCTTTTGTATATCAACCCTTACTTGAGTTAAGCTGAGCTAAAGAATAATTATAATAGTGTTAAATATTAGATGTGTGGGCTAAATATGAA